AGACACTTCCTTTCCCTTTCATGAGGCTGTTTCAGTTCGCGAGCTCCTCTCCCCCATCCCTTGCCTCTTCGTTGTCTCATGCCAAGCTCGTCCTGACATAATGGAGTTTCCAAGGGAATAAAATGAGACCCTGAGATTTACAGTAGACACAGTTTGTAAGACAATGGGCTGAAACAGAACTGCTCTGCAAGGTTTTTCTTGGAGACCGAAGACCCACATGAATGCAAACCCCACGAAGGAATGATTTCCAGGCCCTCAAGAAACTGGTCTTTTTCCTTCTTTCCTAAATTCACCTGGAGTTCCCTTTCCTCTCTCTATAGTAAAATGCAAGGAAATGTCCACGTCTGATGTGGTGAAGGCAAGGCTCGTTCTAGGACCGGGAGCCAAACAGGACAGGCCACGCTGGCTTGCAAATGTCTAAGAGCTTTTTACAGGGAAAGCGCTCGACACACCGATCCTATTTTCTCCTCCCAGGGGGCTTCTTTTCCCCATTCAAAAGGTCACCTGAGTCAGCAGCTTGGATAACACAAGGTCTGGAGGCCAGCCTGCCCGCTCCTTTGCAAGAAGACTATCGCGGAGGAGCACACTGCTGACTCGGCCACCCCCCGCCTCACGCAGGGGAGAGAGGGTGGAGCTGAGTGGTTCTGAAACACCGCCATCTGGCCACGCCCCCAAATTATTTGCATATCCCAACACAATGCTCTTTAACTGGGGTTGACTGTCTTCCTCCTTGAAAGATCAGCACATACGAACCTTAGTGGGGGCAGTCTCACTGGAGCCAAGGAGCTAGCTGTGTCTAGCAGTCCCAATACCACAGTCATTTAAAAGCACAGAAAGGACCCCGGAGTGCGGGGCCTTCCAGGATGTGGGGAAGTCTTGAATTCAGACGGCAGCGGTCAAAACGGCTGTGCAACTAGTAGGGCAACACGGGATAACATCTTGTACTCTTTCCCCATCACTGATTCATTCAATAATGATAAAACTCTGCATCCATTGCTTACTATGTAGGAGACACTGTTCTACACACTCTGCATATTATATCTCAATTCATTCTCACAACAACCTACTACTATACACTGTTTACAGATGAGGAAACTGAAATACAGAGAGATTAAGAAATTGGACGAAGTCACGCAGCAAGTCTGGCTCCAGAGTCCATGCTCTTAATCCCTCTCTATATTTTCTGTATTCAGTAAATATGTATTAAACACCTACTAAGTGCCAAACACTGTGATAATGTTGGACATACACAGATGAGAATGACAGAGGCTCTGCCCTCAAGAAGCTTACACTCTAGCTCGGGAGACAGCAATATATAAACATACACTAAGCACCGTTCATGTGATGAGCCCCATGAGATAGACAAGCAGAGGTGGGACCACACAGGAGCGTCACTAACCCTGACCACAGGGATCGAGGATGCCTTCCTTGAGGAGATGATACTCGAGCACCTTCTAACACAACACTAGAATGTAACCATAGTAAAAGTTTGGTATCCAGAATATCCTCCTTCGGTTCAGACTATGAAACTTACTGAAAACGTCATGCTGTAATTCACATGGTCTTACGCTGGGCTACTTGGGATTCTGGCAGCAAGAGCCAGTGGATAAAAATAAGAAGATAAAAGTGGGTAGACTGGAGCTAGAGAGACCTCCTGACAGCAGCGTGTGCCCCGTGGTGAAAGCAGCCTGCTGGGTGAGCAGTGTCCCAAGGGCATGGGTGAGCAGTGTCCCAAGGGCATAGGGAGACTCTGACGTGATTCTGGCAGGTGTCACGCCCAGGGAAGCAGTTCAGGGAATGGGCGAAAACACCCAGGATCCAAATAATCCGACTGTTCACAATGGGACCCCAAAACCTTGGGGTATGCGGAGCAGAATTCAGTTATGCAGGAAAAAAAGAGCTAAAAATTGCTTAGCAGAGGTTTGGGGCTCCATTTACGTGGGATGGAGTTAAGGGCAGGGTGCAACCTCCGTGAGATACCAGGATACTATATGCGAGAACTGAGATGGAAACCCAGCCACACACACGGGGACAACACTTTGAGGAATGGAAGAAAAGTTACGGCTCAGTGGGCACGCTGGTGTTTGCTCACACGAGACGTCGCCGAGCCAAGCTCCAGGAGAAAAAGATGGGTGCCACTTACGGTGCTGAGGGTGCTGCCCTGGCCAGGATTAGCCAAAGTCCGGGCATCTGGGCAGGGAAACCAAATGTAGAATCAGACTGATTTAAACAATTTTGGTAAAGAGATTCATGAGGAGATAAAACCATAAATGAAGAGAGACAAGCTTGAGTTTGAATCTTACCAGCTAGGTATCTCTGAACGTGCACCTTCACCTCTAATTTTCAAAGTCCTTATGAAAAATGTCCCTATGGCTATGACAATTAAAATACAAGGATGCATATGGAAGTGCCAAGGACAGTTCTTGACACAGAGTGGGTGGTCAGTAAATGATGTTCCCCCTCCCTTACAGACCAATATTCCATTTCTCACTGCTGATGATCATGTCAACTCATCTCAGTAAAAATTCTTCAAAGCATGTTTATATGTTAGTCTTAATAAATTCCTAGGCAGGACATTTCTATCCCTTTGTTTCATATTTAAGCTTGTGGCAGAGAGAAGAAGGAAGTCATTTAGAATCACAAAGAGCCCTAGCGCTGTCATCAAAGCACTGCCTTTAAGTTCTGCAAAGAGCTGGCTCTCTAGAGATGAATACAGTGCACTCCCACTGCTCGTCCAAACTGTCATCCAGTTTTTCTTTTTTTTTTTTTAATTCTCTCTCTTCCTGTTCCTCAGATGAGTATGATTTAATCTCCAAAGAACGCATGATGAACACATTACTACTTCTTCCTCCAAAAATGTGATGTTACAACATAGGGTCTCTTTCCTGAACTGGAGAGAGAGGGAGAGGTCACATGTCCAGTTTCCACACAGGCATTCCCTAGTTTAACTTCACACACAGGGCAGCTCTGTTTCATAGCCACAGAGAGCGTTGCTTATCTTGGCAGCCTTCTCACAAATGTAAGACACTAAACACAGATAAGTCCAGTGCATGGTGAATGACTCAGTGCAAATTCAATCAGTAATGACCCCTCTCCCTCAAAAAGAATCGCTGCCACTTACTACTATTCAGCAGTGAATCAAATGAATCACCTTCGTACCCAGCGATGCCAGTATTTTGGTTGATGTTACAATTTAGAGAAATAACATATTACAATTGTAACTGAGCAAGACCCGTGGAGCCTTCCAGGGTCAGACCCCTCCCCCCGCATATCCTCTGCTGTAGCCCCCTCTGCAGCCCTTTGAAGCACCCAGATAATAGTACCTCATGTCTCTTTCCTGAGTTTTTCAGATGCTTAAAACCACCACCAACGGGAAGAAGTGAACTACTTGGATCTAGAGCGCGTGGTCCCAGACAGACCTTCCGGCACCTCGGGGCTGACCGTGTTGAGCACTGTTACCTCAGCATCAACCAGTCAGAGGACTGCGCACAGGCCGACCACGTTCCATGCAACGCCCCCTCCCTTACCCGGCCTTTAAATATGATTTGCTGAAACCCTTCAAGGACTTTGGGGTTTCCTTGGGCATAAGCCACCTTGCTCGGCCCTGCAATAACATTTTTCTGCTTCAAATTCATGTTTCAGTTTGTTTGGCCTCATGGTGCAGTGGGCACACGAACTTGCCTTCGGTAACACTATGAAATTCCGATTACATACTTACTATGAAAATGATTCACTAGTCAGCAGGTATTTATTTCAACCTGCGTCCAGCAGCATGTCAATGTTTGGGGCTTTCTAGGTGAAGCAGAATTAAAACTAATGGGCATGGTCTCAAGGACAGTCTAGCTGGAAAGAGAAGTCCCATCACGAAAAAAAAAGGACCACCACGAATACTCCCCAGCTGAGCGCTGACTAGCGGAGTGCAGACAGAGAAGAAGGAGACCAAGGGTCCTGCAGCGGACCTGAAGTGTTCTGGGCCATCCTCCACAAGTCTGGCAGAGCAGCTTTTCTAAAAACACATCTGACCATGTCACCACCCCTGCCTAAAACCCTGCAGGGACTCGCCAAGGCCCACGGGGTAATTTCTGAATGTCTGAGTGAGGCATGAAGACTTTTCATTATTCGTCCCTCTCAGCTCCACCTCTTGCCCTTCCTCTTCAGCTGCAGATGCTCTGGATGCAGGACATCCTCTCCAACACTGCCCTTCACACAGTTTTCCCTCTTTCAGGAATATCTGCTCTGATTCCCCTTCTAAAATCCTTTTCCTTTAAGAATGGACTCAAGTATTTACCTCGCTGGAAGCTCTCTTTCCATGACCCTCACACCCACACTGGATCACACCTCCACGCTGTAGGCTCTCAAAATACCTGTGGGCATATTTATGGCAGCACTCATCACACTGTATTGCAATTATGGATTTATTTAACTCTGTTCCCCCACTCTATTGCCCATTTTTTTGATCAACTTTATTGAGGCATAATTGATATATAATAAAACATATCCATTTTAAGTGTATAATTCAGATTATTTTGACAAATATGTACATCCATGTAGCCACCACAGCAATCAAAGGAAAGAACATTTTCATCACCACAAAAATATGTTCAATCTCCTCATTACTCCTCTGCTCATTTAAAAAAAATGAATTTTTAATAAAACCTCATTTTTTATTTTTCATACTTGATCACTCATTAAAGACGTCTGTATTTTCTGCTATATGCAGGTATTGTTTATAATTAAAAAATGAAATATTCACATTTTAGGGGTATATTTAGAGTAGTGAAAATTAATTACTACACTAAAGATGAAATAATATTTTAATTTCAAATATATTTGCCAAGCTGATTTGTGCCTACACAAAATTCATAAGTGATTATAAGAAGTCAGTTATGAATACTGTGTAATAAGGTACTTAAGTAAATTGGCCAAAAATAATAAAGATTCCACATTATCTAAATGTCACTCTCTGCCAAGTGAAATAATTTTTTTAAATGAGTTTAAACGTGCCGTCCTTGAGCCCCCGCCGTGCCTGCGTGTGGTGCTGGAGGTCAGGCTACAGCGCCAGAGCACACGCTTGCGCATAACTGAAGCCATCTGTCCCCAACAGCAGTGGCCCTTTTAAACTGGTTGCTAGTGACACAGTGGCTCCAGACTGCTGGGTGGGTGAGAGGAAAAAGTTTAAAAAACATGTATTTTTAAGACACATTTTGTTTAAATAACTCACAGAAGAGTGCAGGGCTCACATTTCCACCAATATTGTGGACTGAATACCATAATTAACTCTCCCACTAAGAAAAACTTAAAAAGTGCTGGATAAAATAAAACTAAAATACCTTTTTCAAAATATTGATAGGCAGGCAAAAAATTAAGAACTCTTAAGAGCCAAAACCCATATGAACAAGAATCCACAGGGTTAGGCACTGAAGTCAGCTTCCATTTAGAGGGCACTGGCCAAACCAGGTAAACTTAAGCTTTGGTCTTTGTGGCACTTATTTAACTGCCCACCAAAATTAAACGTGTGCTTCCCCTTCCATAGTACTGGGTCATCTCCACTAAGTGGTTGCCCAGCTAGAGATTACATTCCTCCACCTCACTTCCCTCACATCCATGTGGGGCAATGGAACTAATTCTCAGTGACAGAATGTAAAGTGGCATGATGCTTGTCACTCTGGTCCAAGAGGGTTAAGAGCTAGGTTATGTCTTCTTCAATCTCTCTCTCATTTTTTTTTTTTGCTAATTTCTAGCTGAACACAAAAGATTCCTAGATCCCAGAGGATGTTGGAGTTGCAAGAATAAAGTAATCTGTGTCTCGGAATCACCATATGGAGAAAAGCTGCATTACCATCAGAAACACCTAAACTAGGCTATTACGTGATTGAAAAATAAACTCTTATTGTGTTGAACCTCATGCTCTCTGTGACAATGTAAGGAAAACTGTCTCTCTTGAAATATGGTTCTGAATAGGGACAGGGAGGGGGGAGTCATTTCCACTGAGAATTAATTACCGCAAGATACCCACCTATAGGTTTCCAACCTGTATTCACATTGAATGGTCTGAAAAGCCTCAAGCTGATAATTTATTTTAAAGTGACTTTCAGTTGGTAGCACTCCCAGAAGTAAGTGCAGTTTCTCTCTGGAGAAAACTCCTTTCATTCCAAGAAAAATGAACCCACATTCAAAAGTCGTAAAACTCACAAAGAAACAAAACACCAAGTACAAGAGCCAACAGAAAAAATAGATCGTTGAATAAGACCCATAGCTATCAGAATTGCCAACTTAGAATATAAAACCATTATAGTTAATATTGTTGAAAAACACTCTTCCATGAGCCTCTCCTGTTCAAAAAAACAAAAAAAACAAGGCTCCCCCTGATCTTGACCTGGACCACTTTTCAGACCTGGGTCTGCAGTGAGTAACATTCAAGGATAAGATAATGTCTCCCACTAGCAGACCGTGTGGGCTTGCTTACTGTCCGCATAAACTGGCAAGTCTCCCAAGGTCAGTGACCCTCTGTGCAAGCAGCTATCTGCGCCCTTTTATGTCATTCCAGTAGGAACTGGAACACAGGGAACCCAAACAAACATGCTGCCATTCTGGCTACTGCTTCTTCCTTGACAATAAAGCCTTCTGTCTCTGAGGCAAAAGTCTCATGTCTTCTTTCACTTAACTGAAAAAGAGTGCAAAAATCACATATTCTTCAAAGTTCCTCACAAATAGTCTTTAAATATAAAAATATGAACAGAAAACAAGAAACTAAAAAAAATGACTAGGAGATATTAAGAGAAAACTAAACTTCTAGAAATAAAGAATTAGTGAATTGGTAGATCTAAAATTAATCAGAATACAATACAGAGAGGGAAAAAGACGGCAACTCTGAAAGAGGTTGAGAGACACAAGCAAAGCATAAGAAAAATGGATACAAATCTTGATGGAGTCAGAGAAAGAAAATGAAGGAAAAGCAATTATTTGAAAAGAAAATTACAGAGATGTTTCCAGACTGATGAAAGACACCAATCCACATATTTGGGAAGCCCTATGACTTCTAAGAGGTTAAATAAGAAGAGTAAAACTGCAAAACAGCAAAAACAGAGAGAATATCTAAGTAGTTAGAGCGAAAAGGTATCACAGGTCCCCAACTTATGATGGTTCAACTTATAATCTTCAAACTCATGATGGTACAAAAGTGATACACATTCAGTAGAAACCATGCTTCCAATTTTGAATTTTGACCTTTTCCCAGGCTAGCGGCATGCAATGAAATATGCTTTCAAGCTGCGGGGCAGTGGCAGCGAACCACAGCGCGCAGTCAGCCACGCAGTCACAAAGGTGACAATCAGTGCACTGACAACCATTCTGTACCCACAAAGCCATGCTGTTGTTTCACTTTTACTACAGTATTCAATAAATTACATGAGATATTCAACACTTCATTATAAAACAAATCTTGTGTTTAGATTATTTTGCCCAACTCTAGAACTGTAACTTTTCTGAGCACATTTAACATAAACCAGGGTAAATCACGATGTTCAGTAGATTAGGTGCATTATATGCAATTTTTGACTTACAATATTTTCAATTTATAATGGGATTATCAGGATGTAACCCCACTATAAGCCAAGGAAGATCTGTATATTCAAAGAAATGAACCTTATATTTTCAGCTGGTTTAACAACAGAAATGACAGAATGCAGAAGATAATGGAATGTTTTCAATGCACTGAGAGAAACTGACCTGCAATTCTATACGTATTTAAACTATCTAAGAGTGTACTCAAAATAAAGGCATCTTCGGACAAAATACACACACACACACAAAGAGATTTTTGCTATAGCTAAACCCTCAGAAAAGTAAATTATAAAAGAAAAAGGAAAACTAGATGGAGTTGAAATGTGAAAAGAACTGATGAGCAAAGAATGAGATTCTATTTTATACCAACTAGATTGGAAAAATTAAGAAAGCTGACAATTCCAAAACTTGGCAAAGATGTGGAATAAGGGAAAATGTATGCACTGCTGGTTGAGGTGTAAGCTGATACCACTTTGGAAAACAATGTGGTAATAACTTGCAAAACAGGACTTGCACATACCCAAGTCCAATATTCACCTAATCGGCATTAACCTAGAAAATCTCTTACATAGGGGCACCAAGACAAGTATAAGCATTTTCATACTAACATTGTTCGTTATGGGAAGAAACTGTAAGTAATTAAAATGTCCAGCAACATAACTATGAATAAATAAATCATGATATAACCATATAATGGCATATTATTCAACAGTGAAAATTAATGAATTACCACTATATATATTAATGTTGCTGAATCTTCAAAATCTTAGAAACAGGATGAATGAAAGAAGTGAGCCACCAAAGAAATCATACATGTATCATAAAATACTGCATATCTAGTTCATATAACTGAACAATATTGTTTAGGGGTATATAGATATATAAAACTTTTTAAAAGCCAGAAACTGATTAAACACAGATTTCAAGAAAAAGGTTACCTTTGCAAGGAAGGAAATTAAAGGAAGGAGGAGTCGACATATGGATTCAACAAATTGGTAAAGTTCTAGTTCTTAAGTTGGTTGTGAAATCACAATAAATAGGTTTATTTATTTATTGGAGGTACTGGGGATTGAACCCAGGACCTCATGCATGCTAGGCATGTGCTGTACCTTTGAGCTGTACCCTCTCTCATGCAAGTGGTTGCTTTAATATTATACTCTATAAGTTACATGTGTATTATTTTATAGGTATCAAATATTATCATGTAAAGAAATTAACATTTAACAACAAAAGAAAAGGAAGGGGAGCTTCCTTAACCTTCGTTATGAAAACCTTACAGCAAGAAGAGTATAGGACAAAATACTGGTGAAACATTGAGGTGGAAAAACTGAAGCGTGCCCTTTAAAGTCAGCAATAAGAAAAGACACTCCCTGAATCATAAATATTCTGATAGTCCCCAAATTCATCAACAAACTTATTGCAATCCCTATCAAATCCCCAGCAGACTTGGGTTTTTCTCCAAATTTGCAGAACTTAACAAGCTCATCCCAGATTCATAATGAAAATCTAAGTTCCCAAAACAGCCAAGACAATATCGAAGAGCAGTAATTCAGTGGAGGGACCTGCCCTGTCAGGTATCCAGGTTTCCTTCAAAGCTAGAATAGTTGAGAGGGTGTCATATCTGCAAAGAGGGTCTGTAAAGAAACATGATACATGAAACAAAGCATCACAAGCTAAAGAAGGAACGATGGACATTAAAAAAAAAATGCTACTAGGATAACTGATTATCCATCTGGAAAAAGTCATGTCAAAACAGCAAGGCCTCATTTCAAAACAATCAGATTAGCCAATATTTAAAGGTCTGATGACATCAGTGACTGGGAGGATGCAGAGCAGAGGAGATTCTCACATGCTGCTGGCGGGGATATACTCATGTCCCCATCTTAGAGACCGAATGGGTTAAAAGGAAGGTGTTCACACTTCATCACCCAGCATACGACGTCTAGGTGTCTATGCTACAAAAACATATTACACTGCCTCATAACAAACAAAGTTAATCATCAAGAAAGTGGATAAATAAATTTGACTCTATTAATCAATACAATATAAAAAGCAGGTTAAATGAATAAACTAGAACTACATGTAACATCATAGGAAACAGACAAAAGAGAAAGAAAATGTTAAGTAAAAAAAAAGCGAAGTGTGGCAGTAGATATATAGCATAAAGCTCATATAGAACCTAAAACATGTAAATCAATACTGTATACTGTAGATGTAGATGACACATATGCAGTGTATACATTGGAATATGCGTGAGACTGATCAACACCAAATTCAGGATGGTGACTGCCTTTGGGGAAGAAGGGAGGGGAACAGAAATGGGTGCCGGGACCAGGACTAGGGTTAGGCAAGGTGGGCACCTCGTGTGAAAAATATAAGGATTCATCAACCTTCAAGTCGGTGCAGGTGCCGGACACAAACCTCAGAGTGAGCGCCTCCTTAAACTTTGTGTCCTCAGCACCTCACTTTTCTGATCCCAGTCTTGGCCCTGTTAGGTGGGGTACACAAAGACGTCAACAGCTCTCTGTGGAGTTTTATTGATTAAAACAAACGAACAACCCTGCTGTGCAAGTGTTCTGTCGAAAGGGTTTGCACTGCTTCGGCTGCCATTTCACATGTTTAAGACTGCAGCTCTTGTGTTACTTCCTTGAATTGGAATTGTCACACCATGTGGATATTAGAGATTTGGCCTCCAAACACAAGAGCTCTGAGGCTTCAGTATAATGATTTCTTGTGGAAGATTCTGTTGTTTTTTCTTTACAGAATAACCAACAGAATGAGAGGCGGCTAAGCTTGGCCGCGAGCCCCTCTTTCCCATGGTTTTGCATCTTGAGCAGAGAAATATGAGAATAAGGAAAGGGTAGAGACCAGTTTGGAATTCATACCAGGGGTAGGGCTCAGAGCACTTCCTAATGACTTGGTTCCTGCCCTATTTCCAAACGTAGTCCTCCAAACTTCTCGTCAATTGTGTGAGCCTCCTGATATCCTCCAATGATTTCCAATTTTCCTTAAGTTATTCTGGGTCAATTTCTGTTGCTTGCCACCAAAGAGCCCTGCTACTTAGCCTCATGCTGTCAAAGAATGAATTTACATAATTCCACTTGTTATAACTGATCCTGAGGAATCGACGTTCTCCTCACAGGCTGATTTCCCATTGAGGTTTGGTAGGATTCTATAAGGACAACGTGTACTTGTATATTTTAAGCCCTAACTGTCAGGACTACCTCCCTTGTCTGAATCACCGGGGAGTTATTAAGGTTCAAGGTACATACATAACCCTGACTTCTTGCTCTCCAGTTGTGGTTGTGGTTGTGCCTACGTCCCCTGAATAAAAAACTGCCACCGTGGCCCATCATGATGGCTGCACTAAGCATGAGAGTCTCAGGTCTAAGAAAACCCATCATTGCACCAACTTTGCCCCTTGGAGCTGCCTTACCTCCTCTGTCTTCAGAGCTTCCCATAGCCGCGCGTGATCCTCCACCAGCCAGTGTCCTGTGCTCTCTACCTTGGTGGAAAGTTTGAATTTAGATGCCACATGCGTAGGCTCTCCTTCAGGCGTCCCCTCCATCTTGAAAGAGCCAGGCAGGAGGCATTACGGATCTGCGTGGAAGAATCAAGCGTGAGCCAGGTTAAAATGTTAGGTAACATGAAAAGAAATACGAAAGCAAGCTCTCATGCTTGATTTGTGGATAATGAGATGACTGAGAAGAGTGTCACAAGGGGCACCAACCTTTACAGCCACTTTTTATATTTCAGATATTCATGATTGGTACTTTAATGCAGGCTTCTGGAGGCAGGGATGCCTTCCGACAATGGTGAAGTGATAAAAATTTTAAAGCAAAGTGGAAAGCATCACCTGCCTGCTACATCTGCACGTCACTTTGCTCTGGCCCCTTGCAGGAGAGAGGGAAGTGGGTGGATGTAAGACCAGCCGCGTGGAAGCTGCACTGGCTGTGGTGTTGCGAGTTTCACTCTCGGGAGCATCTATTAAACACCCGTTTCTACGGGGCTCCAGCAAGGCATACACAAATAACTCGGGAGTTTAGTTCATAACCATGAGAATCTGAGTGTCTCAGAACAGAAGGGGCTGTCAACAAGTCATCACAACACAGTGTACTACAGCACAGTGTGCGGAATGCCGCCGTCATCCTGTTTCCAAACTGTGCTGGGAGCACAGAGGAAGGTTCTCTTCGATAGTTATTGGTTGTGCTTAATATTAAAATTTGTATTAAAATGATAAAACAGCTATACTGTTTGTTGATCAGAGAAAGTGCCGATAATAAGCTGATCACAACGTGCTAATAGCTACTGAGCATTTACCGTGCGCCGAGCGAGCACCATGCTAAGTGCCTCGCTACAGCTGCGTTCAACCCTGAGGGAAGGAGCCTTGCTCTGCAGCCTGATTTCACCCCGACCTCTGGATCAAGTGTGGGTAGTCAGATGTCCCCCAACCTTGTCGAAAGGATAGCTAGGCAGTTATCTTTACTAAGAAGATCTGATCCCATGTTCTGGTTACAGGGCTATGAATTCTTTGATAAAAGCAAATTCAGATTAAGTAAACTAGATATTTAAAAAAAAAGTTATGGGTTGTGTTACTTTTCCTGAGCCTCAGTTTCATCAGCAACTGCTGTAAAGACGATATGTTAAAACTGACACCAATTCTGGAAAGTCTGTTTCCTCGACATCCTTCCATCTGCCACTTCAGAATCACACCATGCCTGCCCGGCACCAAACTGCCCTAAGGAATCGCCTTGCCTCCATTCACATTCCCGTGAGTTTGTCCTTCTGCAGGTAGTTTTTCTAGAAGGCAAATCTGACCGGGCTGTTCCACCCACCTAAAACTTTTGCCAGAGAGAAAAAATCCAAACTCCTTCACACGGCACCCGAGGCTCCCTGCACCTCCGTTCCCCCTCCATGCCCGGCTGCCTCCTCAGCCATTCTGCTTCAGCCGTTAGGAAGTCCTGTCGCATCTCAAACACGTTCAGTATCTTTGAGCTTTCGTTTGTGTCACCTTCCCTCCACCCATGATGCCAAGAGAATAAAGACACCCTCTCTATATGTGCCCTGGACAGATTTCTATCATGTCACCTGTAACACTTTATTATATGTATTTGCTTTCAACTCTATTTCTACCTTCTGGTCTTTTTAAGCGTCTTAACCCTAGAGATGATGTCATGGACAGAGTAAGTACTAAATAAATGTTTGATGGAGTAGTACATTCAGTCACTCATGAGAATCCAGGAAAAACGAGGCAGCAGACCTAACATATTCCAGTAACATTAAAAGTCAAGTTACCTCTCCTATTTAATTTTTATGGATTTAGTGAGCTGTAAGCTCTTCAGAAGGAAGGGCCAACTTACATTCATCCTCCTCCCCCAGGCAGCTAGTACTGCAAGCAGCAATCACTCATTAGTTAACAACAGAGTAATTTTCATGAAAATGTCTTCAAGGCATTGAGCACGTCTGCAAAACGCTGCTCTCATGCTCCCAATAAGCTGCTGCCCAAATGAAAGTAAATGGAAATCGGCACTGGTAAGATAGGTCAGAGGACGTGAGAAAAAGGTCTTCTGCAGCCAAGTTCCTTTGCCTTCCATGCGCCACTGTAAACTCTGAAAAGCAAGGAATCTGCTGGCAGAGCGCAGTGATGAGGATGCTGCCAATCAAAACCATAGCGCAGCACTCAGAAGCAGGGAGCACCTGTCACCGTCCCACTAGGAACCAGGAAACAGAACCTTTACAATTAATGAACAAAGTTCTTCTGAGTGGACATGGTAATAAATGACGCTGATACATACATGGGAGGAAATAAACAAAGGAGAGTCACGTGGGGGTTTCAGTCCAAAAAAAGGAAATTAAAATTAAACAGGCAAAATGGAAACAGGCCAAATTAGTGGGGAAGGAAATTCCATTGTTGTTACTGGAGGTAATACTGTAAACAACAAATAATAAACCAAAACAAAGTGGAAAAACTCCATGAAATGGGTTGGACTGCATCCCTTGTATATCATGGAAACGCAACTGGATAAAACAGACAAACTACAGAAACCTCAGGGCGGACAACGGAAGCCCTGCAGATGTGACACAGCCCAGTGGCCCATGGCTCTGGCTCTACTGTTTGCCCAAATTTTCAGTGTTGGCGACTGAACTCCACTGCATACTGACTTCTCACAGACTGCCTCTTACCCTGCCTGGGAAGAAGATGCAATACAGAGTTCTAAACCACTCCAGAGCACTTCAGAGCTCAGGACGGATGCAGAGGGGCAGCCAGCTCCTACGAGGCTCTTCAAGAATTCTGAGATCCTCCACTCTGAGACTTGAGGCCTTTCACCCATGCTCAGTATATCACTTACCATCTGTTGGGCTTCCATCACATCCCAGCCATTGTACTAGTTTTCTGCTTTCCACATTTTCTCAAATCTGTACAATAACCCTTCAAGGTAAATATCACCATTTTATAGCAATGAAAAATCTGATTCAGAGAGATTAAGGAAGTTTTACACACTGCTGGATTCCCAAGGGTATCCAGGTTCCCAAGTTCATGCTTTTTCTCCTAGGTCACTTCAGAAGACCTTCAACCTCAGCCCAACCCAACCCCATCACCGGTGGAATGAGCTCTCCCTCTCACGCCCCTCCCCCATGGACTAGAGTTGAAGCACCAGTGTCTTAGGTACCTGGCATAACAGTGCCCTGGAGAGCTGGTCACATTTGATGGATCACAGGTAAGAGTGGGATGGACACAGGGAGGGAAACATCACGGAAAAACAGATCAGTCCTTTTCCTCTTTCCTCCCATCTTGACTTCTGACCAGGGCAGGCTGCATGGGTATGACCAGGGCAGTCACTCAGGGCCTGTGCTCAGAAGGGCCCCCAGCTTGGTTGAATGCTCTGCTGTTACTGTCTTGAAACGCCTGATTTTTGAAAAGGAGGACCCTAAATTTTCATTTTGCACCAGGCCCCAAAATTACATAGCCAATCCCGCTGCTAGCCCACCTTTTTCCTCTTCAATTCTAAAGTTCCATTCCATATCTTCTTTAAACAGTTCATGCATTATAGGCTTCTTATTCTCCTAAAATGAGCTAGAAGTCTATATAATGGGGCCGCTTTTTGTTAGAATGAAGATACAAGGCATATTTAGATCATTTACCTCTGACAGGTCGCATGCTGTAAAGTTGAACTACTGTCTTCTTTCTTAAATCACACGGTCAAGGCTTCCATACAAACTTCCATACAAATACTACTAATACGAGCTCATTCAACAGGTAAGATGAAATCACTGCAAATCTAAAAGGCAGAATCTTCAACTCTACTTAATACTTAGTCTAAAATATCATTGTCCTGATAAGCTCTTTGGGAAATCAGTTTTGAAGAACTGTCATTCTAAAATACCTGATACCCAAAGCAGAATTTTTTTGCAACCACTGAATGATGAGATCACCCTTAAGCTGGAGGTGGGTTAGAGAAAGGAAGCTGTATGTCTATAAAGGCAAATATCTCATCAGTGAACACAGAAGCAAAATTTTGCTTAAAAACTCAAAAAGATACATGCACCCCAATGTTCACAGCAGCACCATTTACAATAGCCAAAACATGGAAGCAACCTAAATATCCATTGACAGACAAATAGACTAAGAAGATGTGGTATATCTATACAATGGAATATTACTAAACCATAAAAAAGAATGAAACAATGCCATTTGTAGCAACATAGATGGACCCAGAGATTACCATAATAAGTGAAAAAGTTAGACAGAGAAAGACAAATATCCTATGCTATCACTTATATGTGGGATCTCTAAAAATGATACAAATAAGCTTATTTATAAAATATAAATAGACTCACAGACCTAGAAAACAAACTTACGGTTACCAAAGGAGGAAAAGGAGGGGAGGGATAAATGAGGAGTTTGGGATTAACAGATACACACTACTATATATAAAATAGATAAACAACAAGGACCTACTGTACAGCACAGGGAACTATATTCAATATCTTATAATAACCTATAATGGAAAAGAATCTAAAAAAGAACATATGCATGTATAACTGAACCACTTTGCTGTACAACTGAAACATTGTAAGTCAACTATACTTCAATTTTTTAAAAAGTAAGTGCTAGGGCACAATTTCACTGAAATCTGTATTTATGTTATTAATCCCCCTGCTGGACTCTGATAAATCAAACTGTACTTTACTGAATTTGACTTTCCTTCCTGTGATAGCAAATAATGTAAGAGACCTCCCTCAAAATCATTATCTTTTTCCTCCTCTCTCTCCTCTTTATGCATTTTTGGAGAGAAAGAAAGTGTTTAATATTCAGAACCTTACTGGAATGGTGCGGTGTTTCTTGTCTTTATCTATTAGGGCCATGCTTTGCCTCTGCCCCTGCAGGTTCCATTACTCATATCAATAATAAAGCATTCTGCTTTATTCCCTTCATGCACGCAAACTCTTGCTTCTGTCTGAAGAAATCTTTTGTTGTTTTTTTTTAACTCAATTCAGATTTCTTCTAATCTTGAAAATGCCTGGCACTTGCCCTGTTCCAGGCTCTTCCCAGGAGCTCTTGTCTTTCTGCCACTTCTTTCTCCCTACTTTCTCTCATC